ACAGGCATGCACTGTTGGGTCCAGGTGCATTTTTCTGTTTTGTTTTATTGCTCTGTTTATCAATCACTATTGTGGGGTTGAATTTAATTCCCATTATTATGACTAAGCATTGATTTATGCTTGTTAGTAAATTTATACAATGTAATAAATTTGGAATTTATATTTTGGAAATATCAGCTTTAATTTATATGTTATTTTTTTGAATTTTTTAATATTTATTTTTTAGTTTTCGGTGGACACAACATCTTTATTTTATTTTTTATGTGGTGCTGAGGATCGAACCCAGCACCCCTGCGTATGCCAGGCGAGCGCGTTAACACTTGAGCCACATCCTCAGCCCTAATATATATGTTATTAAACTGTATTAGACATAGATTTTCTTAAGCTTGCTAATTATGTGCCTCAGTAAAGAATAAGTCACATTTTTGTTATCATTACTTTAGTTATGATGGTAACATTCTATGTTCCATGTATATTAAAAATTTAAATTTGAATAGGATATGGAATGTTGGAGTTTAAAATATATTTACTTTTTTCTTTTTTAATTTATTTATTCTAATTTTTTATATATGACAGCAAATGCATTTCATTTTATAGTACACATATAGAGCACAATTTTTCCTGTCTCTGGTTGTGCACAAAGTAGAGTCACACCATTCATATCTTTATACATGAACTTGGGGTAATGATGTCCATTTCATTCCACTGTCTTTCCTTCCTCCTTGTGTTTACTTTAAAAAAAAAAAAATATATATATATATATATTTAGTTGTAGTTGTCAATACACATGCTAGGCGAGTGCTCTACTGCTGAGCCACAACCCTAGCCCCCCTTATATTTACTTTTTAATCAAAGTTATAGATGGATGTGGTTTTAAAAGCTGTCAAACAATATGATGAACTTATAATAAATTGCAGGCCTGGGGTTGTGGATCAGAGATAGAGTGCTTGCCTAGCATGCATGGGGCACTGGGTTCCATCCTCAGCACCACATAAGGAAATAAATAAAGGAACTATGTCAACCTACAACTGAAAAATAAATATTAAAAAAAAATTGCGGGCTGGGGATGTGGCTCAAGTGGTAGCGTGCTTGCCTGGCATGTGTGCGGCCTGGGTTCGATCCTTAGCACCACATACAAAAGCAAAGATGTTGTGTCCACCGAAAACTAAAAAATAAATATTAAAAAAAAATAAAAAGTAAAAAAATAAAAAAAATTGCAATACCACCTTCCCCATTATCTAGTCCTTTTCCCCAAAGGTGGCCACATTCAAATCTATTAGCTGATGCTGTTGTTCTATATCTCCTTATAACTAATGTACTTTTACAGTTGTTTTTTAAAAATTTAGTAATTTACATATTTTCTATTGACTCCCTACCTGTTATGGAAGATGAAATTTAAAACTCTTAAATTGTCATTCTCTCTTCTTTATTATGGAATCTTCTCAATATATACATTACAATTTTGGGTTAAATCTTTAATATTTAGATGATAGTATTTTACACACACACGCAAACACACGCACGCACGCACGCACTCACGCACGCAGAGGACTGAACCCAGGAGACTTTTACCACTGAACTACATCCCTAGTCCTTTTTGTTTTTTATGACATTTGTTGAACTTTATTTATTTATTCTTGGTGGGGCTGGGCTGGGGATCGAACCCAGGGCCTTACATAGGCAGTTTTTCTACCACCGGGCTACATTCCCAGCTCTGAATGTGTCTGATACCTCTATTTTTTTTTTTTTCCCAGTACTGGGGATCAAACCCAGTGCCTCATACATGTGAGGCAAGTGCTCTGCCTCTGAGCTACATGAACAGTTTTTATTTTCCCCAAAGCATGTAGTCTTTAAAAAATCATTTAATGTGTTTTGTGATTTTTTTCAATACTGCCGTGTTCTCAGACATCTTGTAACAATCCACATAATAAAGTCAGACACATCAAGTGATCTTCAGTCCTACTTTTTATTTACCTGGAGATCCTGGGGCTGTTTTGACTCTTGCCTGACCTGCTCTACTGCTCTTGTCCTGTGACTTCTCTTCACCACTAGTTCAGATTGAATCCCTGTTTCTTGAATTCCATGTCTTTCCTTGTCTTGCCTTATTTCCTCATATGTCTTCCTGGGAATGGGTCACTGGACTGTGTTTTGATTATTGACATGTCAAAAAAGTCTTTATTCTACTTGCATACTGAATTGGTTGGTAGCTTGGCTAGTTGTAGAATTCTAATAAATTATTTCCTTTTAATATTTTAAAGGCATTGCTCTCCTGTCATCTAGCTTCAAGTATTGCTGCTGAGATGTTGAAAAACCATTCTTTTCTTTTTGAAAGTTAATAATATGAGCCAGGTGCAGTGGTTCAGGCCCAGCAGCTTGGGAGGCTGAGGCAGGAGGGTTATTGAGTTCAAAGCCAGCCTCAGCGACTTACCAAGGCCCTGAGAAACTTAGCAAACCCCGTCTCAAAAGAAAAAATAAAAAGGGCTGGGGATGTGGCTCAGTGGTTAAGCACCCCAGGGTTCAATATCTAGTACCAGAAAAAAAATTAATATGAAATAAATGGTAATAGAGAGTAATATAACAAAAACCTACCTACATACTGTTTCTTTCACCAAATGTAAATGTTTGCTATTTGTACTTAATCTCTTTTTCCTTCTGACCCTCCATCCCCTTGCAGTTATCAATTCCAGGGCCTTCCAAATACTAGTCAAGGGCTCCACCCTAAGCTTTATCCCCAGCCCCCTTTTCCCTTTAAGAAACTACTTATGGATATAGTTGAAGCCCCCTCACCTTTCTGATAGCATTAGAAATTGGTGTTTGTTTTTCCTGTGTGCTTTAATACTTGGTATTAGATAGGAATATATTCATACTATTGTTTGCATGTTTTAAAGTCTTACAAATGAAACTATAGCATGTACATTATTCTATAATTTTTTTTTCATTTTTACACATTTTATATTTTTAAAGATGTATTCATATTGATCACTCTAGCCTGATTCACTCATTTTTCAGAAGATTTTTAAAAAATATTTTTTTGGTTGTTGATGTACCTTTATTTTTTTATTTATTTTTATGTGGTGCTGAGGATCAAACTCGGTGCCTCACACATGGTAGGCAAGTGCTCTGGCGCTGAGCTACAATCCCAGCCCTCTGATTCATTCATTTTTACTAATGTATTGTATCCCATTGTAAGACTTTAATTTTAATTTTAAATAGCTTAAAATATGTAAAGTAATTTTGAATGGGGTATAAAAGGCCGGTGTTGTGTTTTATTGGTAGAGTGCTTGCCTAGCATGCCTGAAGCACTGAGTTCCATACCCAGTACCACATAAATAAATAAATAAACAAAATAAAAGTTAATAGTAAAAAGGTAAGGAACTCATGCGTTTTATAATAGTTCTTTTTTTGGGGGGGTGGTACTGGGGATTGAACACAGGGTACTTAGCCTCTGCACCGCATCCCCAGCCCTATTTTTGTATTTTATTTAGAGACAGGGTCTCACTGAGTTGCTGAGCACTTTGCTTTTGCTGAGGTTGGCTTTGAACTCCCAGGATCCTCCTGCCTCAGCCTCTCAAGTTGCTGGGATTATAGGCATGCACCGCTGCACCTGGCTGTAATAGTTCTTTATAGAATTTTCTAGTTTGGCTTAACAATGCCTATTGTAAGAAGTTAAACCTTATAATTAGCTGGCTTGATATGGAGGCTGAATTGACTAGGGAGGATGAAAACAGGGGCTGTGGGTTCAGAGGCAGGTGCCAAGGAGCCAGATTGGTATTTCTTACATGTTTCTAAGACCCATCTGCCCATGTGCATTGGGGGAGCCTCATGCCCTCATATAAGCAGCTAGTTCAGATCTGTAGAGAATACAAGAAGGCATCCTTCCAAATTCTGCCCTTGGTTTCCTTGCCTTCATGGAATGAGGAGGGGCATGAGTAAGAAAGTCAGTTACTAATAAAAATTCTCACCTGAATGGAACTTTTTCTGTCACTGAGTCCACATAGTTTTCTTTCATTTCGAAAATAGTGTAATTATTGTTAATCTCACCACCATCTTATTATTCAGTGACACTTATTCTGAAAATTGTGATAAAGCTTGTTCTAGAACTAAGTTGAGTGTGATTTGAGGAAGAGAGTAATTCATATTTGAACTCAACTATTAGTTTTTTCCTTAATGACCAGGCACAACAAATACTGTAGAGCCTTGTGTATAATTATTCAGTCACTTATTCTTTTCAACATATTGTTTAGGGAATGCCTATTACATGTTTGTCTAGTTAATGGGGATAGAAAGATGAATTAAGAGCTATCATCAAAAAAAAAATTCAAAGTTTAGTGAAGGAGTATGTCAACAAATACTGTATGTATACTTAGCAGAACGAGAGAGAATTATATGTGATTCCTTTAGAATTGGGAGCTCTTTCAGGAGAAGCAGGTAATTCAGGTCAGCCCCACAATTCGTGTCAGTAGAACATGGTAATTACTTGAACTACTTTCTCCTCCTTGCACATTCATGCCTTGTAGTCTCTATAATTGCCTCTACCTCCCAGCCCCCTTTTTTGAGACAGGGTCTCTCTATGTTGCCCAGACTGGCCTAAAACTTGAGATCTTCCTGCTTGATCCCTGAGCAGTTGGCATTACAGGTGTGCACCACCAGTGGCTAGTCTCTGTATTTCTTTACCACCATTGTCTCAATTGTAAATAAGCCTCATTTTCGGAATGTTTGTTAATAAGTTACCATAGGTATAAATTTGCTTTGAGACATTTTCTTGAGCAGAGGTAGTCCCATCCTAATATCTGAGGTGCAAGTATAGATTTGGATTCTTATGTTTGTGTTGGCTAAGTCTTTCCCCTTGTAACTTTGTATCTGATGTCTAATATACTTACAAATAAGGAGAGATGTAATTTCCTTTAGTAAGTTTATAGTTTTTTTATATGTAATTAAAGGTGGGAAAAGTTATGATGACTATTTTGAACAAGTTTGAATTTTTTCTCCATTTTTTCTAGGTTGTACTGTGGAAATGCAGGTGTAAATTATCTTACCACTTTAGAAGATGGGATCAAACAGCAGCAGGATCAGTGATCTTCCTAAAAATGAGTACTTAAAAAAATTATCAGGCACAGAATCTGTCTCTGAGAATGACCCATTCTGGAATCAGCTTCTCTCCTTTTCTTTCCCTGCACCAACTAGCAGGTAAGAGATTGCCTGGAAATTGAAAAATTCATATAGAAGGCCACACTAACCTGTGAGATATGCTACTTTTTGAAAGTATGTTTTAGTGTTTGTTTGATCTGTGTCTGTCTCTCTCTCTGTCATATATATACTAATAGAAAATCCAAAAGGTATGAACAGTAGGAAATACGTTTTTCTCTCCTTTTTTACTTCACTACCTCCTTTCTCCAGAAATGATTGCTACTAGTAGTTTCTTTTAGAGATAGTACAAGGTTATTTTTTAAAAATATTTATTTTTTAGTTTTAGATGGACACAATATCTTTATTTTACATTTTTATGGTGCTGAGGATCAAACCCAGCGCCTCGTACATGCTAAGCAAGCGCTCTACCACTGAGCCACAACCCCAGCCCCAGAACAAGGTTATTTAAGCATATATCCCATGTTGTTTAAATACAAAGGATAGCATATATACATGCTATTCTTATTCTGTTCCTTGCTTTTCCCCAAAAGTTAAGTGAAATATGTATTTTATATGTAAGAATACACAAAACTGCCTTTTTCTTTTAATTTTCTTTTGTAGTTATAGATGGACATCATGCCATTTTTTATTTTTATGAGGTGCTGAGGATTGAACCCAGTGCCTCACACATGCTAGGCAAGTGCTCTGCCACTGAGCTGCACCTTTTTCTTTTTAATGGCTACAAACTAACTGGAGAATATATTTAATCAATTTTCTATTTGATGAACATTTAGACTGTTTCCAGTCTTTTGTTTTAATAGATGATGTTGAATATATCATTTCTCATGCATAGGAATCTGTCTTTAGAATAAATTCCTTGAAGTAAAATTGTGGGGTCAAAGTGTATGTATGCTTCTATAATTTTTTTATTCCTTCATCCTGGGAATTTAATCCAGGAACACTTTACCACTGAGCTACCTCCCTAGTCCTTTTTAATTTTTTATTTTGAGACAGGATCTCACTAAGTTGCTGAGGGTCTCATTAAGTTGCCCATGCTGGCCTTCAACTTTTTGTCTCAGCCTCTCAAGTCACTGGGATTATTATAGGTGTGTGCCCTGTGGCTGCTTTCTAATTTTGGGAGTTATGCCACAGTGTGCTTCTTGGAAGTTTTACCAGTTTATGCTCCTATGAGCAATGTAAAAAAGAGCCTGTTTCTCCACATCTTTGTCAGTTTAATGCAATTTTTACATTGGATCAATGAAAATTTGGTAGATGAAAAACAGTAATTAATTTTAATCCTTTATTATAAAAATTGACATGTAATGTAGGGTAACTAGAATATTGCATTTCCATATATTCAATGAGTAGATTTTTTTTTTTTTTTTTTTTTTGCAGTGCTTGGGATTGAACCTAGGGCCTTGTGCATGTGAGGCAAGCATTCTACCAGCTGAACTATATCCCCAGCCTCTCAATAAGTACATTTAAAAAATATATATATTTTTAATAGCCTTCTGGTAAGAGGCTGAATAGTTCCCTGCCCCCAGATATCCATGTCCTAGTTCCCATGATCTGTGAATGTTATGTTAATGTGGCAAAGAGGAATTAGGGTGGCAAAGCGGAATTAGGGTAGCAAATGGAATTGCTAATCAGATGATCTTAATTAGGGAGATTATTTGGATTATCCAGGTGATTTTTAGTGTGATCACAAGGATTCTTGAAAGTGAAAGAGGGAGCAGGGGAATAAGAACAAGTCAGAGTCATGTGGTGTGACTAGAGGAGGACTTAGCCTGCCCTGGTTGGTTTTGAAGTTAGAGGAATGGGGTTATGAGCCTAGAAAGGTGAGCAGCCTCAAGGAGCTGAAGGGCTCAAGAAAAATGATTTTGTCTTAGAGCCTGAGATCCTAATCTTAGCTCACTGAGACTTGTTTCAAACTTATGAGCTGTAAGATAATAAATTTGCATATTTTACACGACTTTATTTGTGGCAACTTTTATAGCAGCAATAGAAAACTAAAACTTTTTTGAGATGTGATCCACCCACTATTTCAAGTGTGTAATTCATTGTTTTTAACATAGTCACAGAGTTGTACAAGTATCTCCATGAGTAATTCAGCAAGACCCTGTCTCAAAATTAAAAAAAAAAAAAAAGGCTCTGGGGATGTGGCTCAGTGGATAAGCACACCTGGGTTCAATCCTTGGTGACTAAAACAACAGAACCAAACCTTGAGATTGAATAGGCTTTGAGGTAGCAGGTGCCCCCTTGACAGTTAGGGGCTAGGATTACCTTGTTATGAATCATTCAGGGTTAAGATGAGTCTCTGCAGGCAAAGACTACGAATCCAATATTTCTGAGATTTGGTTACTCCTCGAATTCCTTGTATCCATATATGCTAGCTTCAAGTACAGCCTGTTTTTGCACCCACAAATTAATATCTGTCAAGTTTTAGAAACACTGATAAGGCCTTCAGGACTAATCTAATTGTTCTTTACTATTAACCTTTTTAGCATCAGAGGAAACTGATTTTGTTAAAACTTCCAGGCCTGGTTGCAAAATCCTACTTAGATTCCTTAATAGTTTAAAATTTTTCACATTACTAATATTACTTGTGAAGCAAAGTCCTGAAATCAAGAATAATTCAAGTAAAGTTTATATAATATGCTAATTATTTTTCTTAATAAAATATTTTTAAGCAATTTACATGACTGATTTTTATGTTTCTAAATTCCATAATAGTAGCAACAATGCAAAACAAATCTGTGCTTATTGTTTGTTCTGTTTGTAGACATCTGAATATTCCCATGTGAAGGTATGGTTTGTGTGAATGCACTCATGGGTGTCCTGCTTGTCATTGAAAACTGAAGGACCCAGGTGATCTTTCAGTGTGTATTGATCCATCTGTTATTTTTTTGTTTTTCAAGCTATAATGTTGAGCTAAATAGAAGACACTTGTTCTCAAAGGGCTTATAATCTTAATTGTAAGTCAACAGTTGGCTGTGGTGAGGTGTGATCAGGGCCGTTATGGAAGTACAGGGAAGCATGCACATGGCAGGAGTATCTCCTCAGCCACGCTGGAATGAGCAGGTTGGGTCACAGCTTTCCTGGAAGAAGTGGTACACATTTATTTATTCCACTTATGTTTTCAAAGGTAATTTATTCCCATAGTTTGAGTCTCAGAACATACCAAAGGGTATTTAATGAAAAATCTCCTTCCTGTTCCTATCCCTCTGCTACCTCAGTATTCCTTTCTGAAGGCAGCCAAAGATGACCAGAGTCAGAGGAATGGGGGCTGGGGGCAGAAGACTGATCCAGATAGAGGGAACAGCATGAAGGAGGGAAGCCTAGTGGTAGGGAAGAACATGCCATGTTTTCACAAGTGAAGAGGACTAGTGAGGGGAGATGGTTTGGAAGATTTGAGGGTTCTTATAAAGAATACTAAGGCATTTCAACTTTGTTTTAATTTTGGTGGATACCATTGAAGGATTTTTATCAGAAAGACAGGATCAAGTTTTTATTTGATTTGATATTTTAGTTGTTTCACCTTATGGTGGCCACTCTATCTGTCAGCAGAAATTATTACTTTTTTTTTAATGGTACTGGTGATTGAACCCAGGGGTTCTCCTGCATGCCAGGCAAGTGCCTGGCTAAGTCCCAACTCTTTTTAAAAAATCTGTCTTAATTCAGAGTCTCATTAAGTTGCACAGGCTGGCCTTCAACTTTCAATCCTACTGTCTCAGCCTCCTGAGTAGTTGGGATTATAGGCATGTGCATAGTTAAAAGGTATTACTTCTTGACTACAAAGTTTTTGTTTCTCTAAAAAAACAGTTGACACGTGAGATCAGATATACATGTTCTAAAGTACAGAGTTAATTGGTATGTGGTCCTTGGTGAGATGGTCATGATTACAGGATTCTGAAAGGTATTTTGGAGGCATTGGGGTGTGCATAAAACCCTGAAGGGGTGGATGATTTCGAGACAGCCAGCAAGAACAAGAGAGTTCAGATGCATTTGAAAAGTATGTGGCCAAAGTCATTGAGGCAGGACATAGCTCAGTCTGCAGGTATGGCCCAGTGGGATACTGGCCTGCCAAAGGAAAATGTTGGTCACAGGGCTTGCTTTGAGTGCTAGAGCCCTCCCAGCTTTGGCAGTGGTGTGAGAGATGAGGAACTATGGTGTCTGTAGATGGAATTTTAAAATTAGAATTTTATTTATTTTTGCTTGAAAAAGATTCTGCCCCCCACCCCTCCTTTTTTTGTGGTTCAAAACCCAGAGGATACTGAGGTTATTCTTTATCCCCCTGCATGCCTGATTTTCTTCCCCAAAGGCAGTCAATGTTATCAGGTTGCTTGAATGTAAAGATATTTTATGCATATGTATACAAATATGCACATGTATTACCTTCTTTTTAGACAAAAATAGCATGCATATTATACATGCTTCTTCACTTTGTGTTTTTTTTTTTTTGTATTGAATATATCTTAGAGAATCTTGTGTATGTTTGCTGTTTGCTTCTTCATTTTTCTTGATGGAGGTATAGTACATAATTGCTGAGTATACCAAAATTAATTTAACTTTTTTTTTTTTTTGGTACTGGGGATTGAACCTAGCAGTGCTTAACCACTGAGCCACATCCCCCAGCCCTTTTTTTATATTTTATTTAAAGACAGAGTCTTGCTGGGTTGCTTCGGGCCTCACTAAGTTGCTGAGGCTGACTTTGAACTTGGAATCCTCCTGCCTCAGCCTCCAGAGCTGCTGGGATTACAGGCATACGCTACCAAACCTTGCCATTTACTTTTGTCACTTGGATAGCTTTTAGTGTTTTGTCATTACACATAATGCAGTGAGTAACTTTAAATATAATAGGTAGAAATGATTCCTTATACTGTGAAGTAAATGGGACCAGATGACTTCTATAAACTCACTCAGTTTTGGGAGGGCATGAGAAGTGTTAATAGATTGGGAAGATTTTAGGGAGCATTCAGAATGCTTCCTAACATTTTTCCTGGTGTTTCAAGCAACTGGCCAGGGTGCTCAGATCTAGAAAGGCCTAGAGGCTCTCAAGG